TTAGCGGATACGGCGGACCATCGGCCGAGAAAGCATCGTACGGCAGGGAGGGATTTTAAGAGAGAAGAGAAGAGGTGGTGACACTCATTGAGGTGATGGCTCTCCGGTGGCTTCATGGCCAGAAGTGGAGGAGACGAAGAAGATGAAGGGAAGGAGGGGCGATGAAGAATTAATGAGTCAGTGTAGTAGCTGGTTCAGAAAGGGGAACCCCATGAGGAAAAGATTTACTTTCTTTTTAGATTTTTTAAACACTTGCACTATTTTCAGCTTTTTTACATATGAAAATATATTTTACATCCCACTAACACCCAAATATTCATATTTACCTTCGCGAATAGCTCGTGTTTAGCTCGTTAAGAAGCTCGTGTTTGACTCGTTAATTTCGTTCGATAAGTTAACGAGCCGAACACGAACTGAGATGTGTTCGTTAGTGTTCGGGTCGAAGCTATAAAGATTTATAATCAATTAAAATATTGATTAAGAAAATAGAATAAAAATTGTTAAATTAGATTCAAATAATGTTTTAATATAAATAATAATTTTTAAATCTTGCTCAAATCCTTATTGTCTTATGACTACATGATTAGGGTTGTTAAAAGGACTCTTTGTTCGTGAACAGCTCGTGTTCGGCTCGTTAAGCAAGTGAGCCGAACACGAACACATTTTTTGAGCTCGAAATATAAACTAGCCGAGCATGGCTCGCTCGTGTTCGGCTCGTTTACACCCCTACCTGCATACCGCCTAATATTTTAACATTATATAAGAAACTTCACCATCAGTATGTTTGAAACAATGAAATACAACTTTTTATGACACCAAGATGTTTTTAAGTGTAATATCACTCTTGTTTATTTATTTATTTGAAGGAATGATTAGAGGCTATTGTATGATCCCTCATGCACCTAAGAATTAGAATACCACACCCTACGCTTGGGGGGAATCAAACCACGGACTAGAGGACTTACAACTGACAAGCAGTTGCCCGACCAACTGATCTGAGTACGCGGCCCATGTAAATATTAGACTTTAGTTGTTTGATATGTAATTATATTTAAATTATGCGGTATGTTTGTAAATCTCTTTTTACTCTCTTTTTTTACGGCTTCCGAATTGTTGCAACAGCTAAATGCGTTTCGTCATGGAAGAAGGTAAGTGGTTCACCAATTCATAACTAATGACAAAAGTATGATTAGAAAGAAGAAAATGATTAGCCAATCATTTCTCTCATGCTTCCATTTAAAATGTTCTGATCAAGTATATTTTTGGATTGATTTAACAAGCATCTGATCAGTCTTAATAATAATTATAATACAAAACATTTCCTTAGTTCCAAAAAGGTTTTGGAGTGGTTGGATGATTGAAACATGACATGTTACATGTTATCTTTTATATAGCCTGTGGATTTCTTTTGGACTCAACTTTTGGCGCCATGGTATCAAGCTTGAGCGAGGCCTGACTCAGCTCATTAAAAAATATTATTATTTATGTTCAACTAGTTTAGATGTCGATCGCAAAAAAATTGTTAGTGTTCAACTCATTTGCTTAGCTAGCCGAACACGAGCTGTTTGCGAGCAAGCCGTTTTGACAATCCTAGTCATGCAGCCATAGGATGTTAAAGATAGGGACAATATTTAAATCTTATTATTTTTATTAAAAAATTCATTTAAATTGAGTTTAATCGATTTTTATTTTATTTTTTAATTAATATTTTTAATTGGTTATAAATTTTTGTGGCCTTGTAGAAATATATAATTTAGTTATTTTGATCCAAAAAGATTTGAACAAAAACGAATAATCTTTATTCGTGCTCGGCTCGCTTATATATCAAACAAAAAAAAAATAATAAAAAAAATTGTGTTCGGCTTGCTTGCTTAACAAATGAATTGAAACAAACTTCTTAACGAGCCGAACATGCGCTGTCCGAGAACAACATATCATTTTGACAGCCTGATAGTATTACACATAATATACACTCATTGTAGTGTAGTATGTGTTTATTCATAGATAGTGAGTTAGCAACAAAGTTCATGTGCGAGCAATATTGTTCATATCAATTGACAAAATTGATAACAAGATGCTTGATAAGTTACACCTTAAATATTGAAGAGCAAATCATGCACATAAATGTCAATTTTTTGTCTTGAGAAATTTCTTACACAAATATATAACTTAGAACACTACTTAAATCAAAATATGATATTTTTACACAAAATTTTAGTAATTTTTTTATGCTTTTTTGTTTCACTTATCAATTATATCTATCTTCTCTTCTCACTCTATTTTCTATTTTATCAAATATTATCTTGTGCATGAGGGGTGATTGAATAATGATGTACTAGCAAACATACTTGTTGTGGGATATGTACTTCCTGACATAGAAATGAGACGAAAAAGAACACAAGCAAACACAAATCGTTTACGTGGTTCGATCCAACTGGATCTACGTCCACGGGAGGGAATCAATCAAATATTTCACTAAGGCAAAAGAAATGGAGAATACATAGCTTATACATAGAGATGAGCCCTCATCTTCCTTCGATGGCCTCCCTCTCAAGCGACACTTTGATACAAGGCCTCAAGATGCTCTCCTCCTCTCTAACTCTATAGCTATTCTCTCCTCCTTTGTGGTAGCTCAAGATATCTTCTCCCTTGCTCTCCTAGGCCTCACACCCTCTCTATTTATAGAAGCAAGAGAGCGATTGGTGGGAGGTAGGTGAGCGGTAGGTGAACGGTAGGTGAATAGTAGGTGAGATGTGGTAGGTGAGCGGTACCACATTACAAAAGTGTCATTTTACCTTAGTTCTTTAATTGGAGGTCAAAACAACAATAATATTATTGAGTAAAATATTAAAAATTGCAATCAGACCAATTATGTTGCATGGGTTTGTGTTGGGTAATAAATAAGTCTTGGTGAACTATAGTAGAAATATGATTGTTAAAATAAATGTATGACAAAAGTAGGAGGATAGATTGATAAATGATTATATTAAAGAGATGGTGAGAGTTATATTTAAGAATACAAAGTAGCTAACATTTAGGTTTGATGGTTTGGGCATGGACTATCAAGGTTAGAAGATGCATGTTCAGCTTGTTCGAAATTGGCTTGTGCTCGAAATTGCCCGTGAAGAGTGTGTTCATGTTCGACTCGATTTACATATTCTTGTTCGTGTTCAGCCCAATGTTGACTCATTAAAAATAATTAGAAAAAATAGATGTAGGGTGTTTAATTCGAATTTGCACTAATTTTGTGTAATAGAATGTGTATGACCACATGACCAGAGGATTTGTTATGACTTAAAATTAGATATAATTATATATGATATATTATTATATAAAATAAATATAATTGATCATTATATAAATAATATATATATATATTTTTTTATTTCGAGCTAAAATGAGTCAAACACGATCGAACAAAGGGTTGTTCGTGTTCAGCTCATTTATAATTCAAGCTTAATAAATTTGTTCTTGTTCAACTCATTACTTAATGAACTATTCAAACATGAGTTGTTCGCGAAGAAGTTTTTTTGACTTCCCTAGATGCATCAACACGACAGATAAAATTAATGTCAAAATGTATGGAAAAAAAAGGTTAGGTTAAAGCTAAGATGAATGGACGTTGTGCAAAAGAAAAAAAGAAGAAAAAAAAAAGAAACACAATAAAATATATGTAACACCTCTTGCAACACTTAAGAGGATGAATGAAAAGTGGAATTGTGCAAAAGATAAAAAAAAAGAAAAAGAAAAAAGAAAAATAATAAAATATATGTAACACCTCTTGCAACACTTAAGAGGATGAATGAAAAGTGGAATTGTGCAAAAGATAAAAAAAAAGAAAAAGAAAAAAGAAAAATAATAAAATATATGTAACACCTCTTGCAACACTTAAGAGGATGAATGAAAAGTGGAATTGTGCAAAAGATAAAAAAAAAGAAAAAGAAAAAAGAAAAATAATAAAATATATGTAACACCTCTTGCAACACTTAAGAGGATGAATGAAAAGTGGAATTGTGCAAAAGATAAAAAAAAAGAAAAAGAAAAAAGAAAAATAATAAAATATATGTAACACCTCTTGCAACACTTAAGAGGATGAATGAAAAGTGGAATTGTGCAAAAGATAAAAAAAAAGAAAAAGAAAAAAGAAAAATAATAAAATATATGTAACACCTCTTGCAACACTTAAGAGGATGAATGAAAAGTGGAATTGTGCAAAAGATAAAAAAAAAGAAAAAGAAAAAAGAAAAATAATAAAATATATGTAACACCTCTTGCAACACTTAAGAGGATGAATGAAAAGTGGAATTGTGCAAAAGATAAAAAAAAAGAAAAAGAAAAAAGAAAAATAATAAAATATATGTAACACCTCTTGCAACACTTAAGAGGATGAATGAAAAGTGGAATTGTGCAAAAGATAAAAAAAAAGAAAAAGAAAAAAGAAAAATAATAAAATATATGTAACACCTCTTGCAACACTTAAGAGGATGAATGAAAAGTGGAATTGTGCAAAAGATAAAAAAAAAGAAAAAGAAAAAAGAAAAATAATAAAATATATGTAACACCTCTTGCAACACTTAAGAGGATGAATGAAAAGTGGAATTGTGCAAAAGATAAAAAAAAAGAAAAAGAAAAAAGAAAAATAATAAAATATATGTAACACCTCTTGCAACACTTAAGAGGATGAATGAAAAGTGGAATTGTGCAAAAGATAAAAAAAAAGAAAAAGAAAAAAGAAAAATAATAAAATATATGTAACACCTCTTGCAACACTTAAGAGGATGAATGAAAAGTGGAATTGTGCAAAAGATAAAAAAAAAGAAAAAGAAAAAAGAAAAATAATAAAATATATGTAACACCTCTTGCAACACTTAAGAGGATGAAT